GTTGATTTAGGAGAAATGGCAGTCTCGTCGATTATAACAGAATTCCAATCTGCAATGCATCGACTATATGACAAAGGTCATTCTCAGGACTAAAGTGGTTGCATGGTCGTTGCTAAGCATTAAAGTTTTCTCACTTCTGATTGCATTTTTGTTTCGTCCCAGCATTACTGTCGAACAAAAATACCACCAAGCTGCAGGAAACCGAAACTGTCGTTTTGTTCAAGAAGGACGAGAAGGAATATTTGAGAAACTATCGTTCAAACTACCATCTAGCTGTATGCTGCTTAAATCCCTTGTCGATCACTACCGCCATCAGGTTACTCGATATTGGAAGAGATACGCGATAATGATATCTTTTGTTATGTCTCACTGTTGTCACTCAAATATCAGGCGTGTAAAACTCAATTGCTCACCGATATTCTAACGAGGTAGTTCTGTGCAATAGTGTAGAACTATTGTTTTGGAGTTTGTCCACAAAATGAAGTACTTCCCTAGACCCATCAGTAAACATTATTCTCATTTTAGAGAGTTGAAAATGGATGCAATTTATGCGGCAAGACAGCAGCACAGTAGACCAGACAGGTTCTGCATGGAATTTGGGCACCTGCCGTTCTGCATGTTGTATGATTCTGCTCGTTGGAACTACTTTCTCTATTTTGCGAAAATGTTGCAGCAGCTCTTACTCCTTATACGTAACCGAATAAACATAAAAATATGTTCGTGCACCAGAGTTTATCGAACGGCGCATGAAACTTCTGAGACAAAATTTCAATTTTTCCGATAGCAAGTGGGAATTAATAGCCCCTGAAACACTGTTCCTGATGAACGAGAGGTTGCTCCAGGAGACGGACTGTTGAGAAGTGATCGTCACCAAGAAACTTCAAACAAGTCTGGACGAACAAGAGCCAAGAGAACAACTAGAATTGCGAAGGATCCACCGGCATTTTTACTTTAAGTCAACTTCTGGAGAGACGAGTGAATTCCAGCTTCCTCTTATGCATCATCTGCGTCGACTACGGGAAAGGGCTTCACACCGTCGAGTATAACGCAGGACAGGACATCGATGCCCGATATATCAGTTGGCGGAAGGAAGCGAACCTTAGCTGCTATACAAGCACCACGCTGCTAGCACTCCCTGTGGATTCCCGTTGGCAAGGACACAAGAAAAGCGGAAACTCTCTCTTCAGAATCGTAACTGCCAGCTTGGAAATGGTGTTCCGGAAAATGAACTGGAAGGGTCGGATTAGCATAGCGATGAAGAGATCAGCCACCGATTGTTCGCTGATGAATTGTGACGATTGTTAGGCAGGAGCAAGACAGGCTGCAAGAGCTCGAAAGAAATACAGGAGAAGTGGAATCAAAGTCGAAGTATGGGGCATAGACAAAGCTACGGCGGTCATCGAATGCCCTACTGAAGGCCCAGGCATTATTAAACGGCAAAAAAGTCAA